CATAATTCTGGAAAACTATGTAAACACGTCATCATGATCTCTTATACGAAACATCTGTCGTTTAGAAGCATGTTTATGTTGTTTTTATGTAAGAATTCAATCAAATGATTGTTATAAATTTGTGTAAACCATAACTTGAATAAATTTTTAATTACTAATACATTTTTTTATCAATAATTAAAAAGATAAAATATCTTTTTAGTTTATGTCCTAAGATTTTGAATCAAACAAAGAGAGTTAGTAATACATAAAGATACAGAGTAATAGCAAGAAATATTTACTTTTTGTCCGTTTTGAAATGTTGCACATAGCATTTTTATTATAAATATAAAAAAAATATTTTTTTTGCACACAATTTTTTTTAATTCATAGATTTTGATTAGGTTTTCTAAGTAATATATCAATTAAAAAAATTTAATAAAATTTTTTAAATATAAAAATTACAAAATATCAATCTTTTTGATTATATACAAAATTCTTTTTGATGTTCAATCATAATGCAAATACAAAATTAGATAATCAATCCAACTTTTTTTTCTAATATATCAAAATGAAAATTTTTTGCATGCAAATTATCATCATATAAAATGAATTTTTAGATGGATGATCAAATTTGAACATGAAATTGTTTTGAAAAATACATAAAAATTTATTTTTTGGTCATATTTCATTTTGATATTTAATTGTGCTATAAAATATATTACAAGCTGGAAATATATCATATATTAAATTGTATCATGCATTGTGTCATAATTGGAATGTGATATGTTTAACTCAAGATTGGCCAACATTCCAGGATTTAGTCCCTCGGGCTGACAGTCGGTGGTATAACTAAGGGGACAAAACTTACTCCTCCCTATCGTAATTTTTTGTTGGAAATGTTCTTGTGGAATAAACCTACTATCTTTTGCATTTGAGTGTATCAACAATTGGTATTAAAGCAGGAAGTGCAGCTACGAGGATGACAGAATTCTTTACTCTCTTGTGTGTGTTGCCAGTGTCACCTCGAGGTAGAACTACGTTTTGGTTTTTGGATCTAGATCTTTTGGACGGATGTGTGCTTGCGTGCGTGTGAGAACGTCTATTTTGACACATTTTGTTTGTTCTTTCTTCCACCATTGCGTTCAGGAATTCCCCCTGTTTTAGATAGGTAGATAAAATTTTGCACCATTGATAAGACTTGTTCTGGTCTGAGGCAAGATCAATCGCAAAGAACGATGTATTTTTTTGATGACGAGTCAAAAGCAAAAAATATGGCCGATCTCGACTAGCCAAAGTTGAATGAGTGTCATGCGACAGCAAAGCAAAAAAAACATAGTGATGGCAAAATGTGCTGGAATGCATTGGAATTTGTGTTTAAATCTTCATCTGACTTCTAACGTGAAGGATGACTGAGTAATGTAATCAATCACACATCATTGGCTGGAGCTCAACGTCGTGAAGGCATCAAGAGACACGATGATCAGACATTGATTTGGATCAAGTACGCAATATGGATCGCCTAGAAATGAGAGAAGTGGTGAAAAAAAGACGGATGGGATGCTCTAAACCTTCCTTCACAATTCTTCGCAACAAGTATGGATGGTCTAAACAGTCAAGCACAAAGCTTTTACATCTGGAGAGTTAACTGACTCCTTACAAGACATCATGATTCTTTATTTGGTAATTTTCTTTCTCTTTAGATTTAAATTTGTACCTATTCTCCCTTATCTTTCATCTTATGTTCACATGTCAAGTAGTTTGACAACACATTAGTCATGCTTAGACTTGCGCACTGTCCGTCCTCTCTTGATCCCTAATGTTACAGTTGAGCGTGAAAAGTTCCGTGATGATCACGTTATTGGGCGGGGATTTTTCCTCCTCTTCTCGGTACATTGAAATAGACAACAAGAGTTTAATTTTAATTATGAAGTCATGATAGATGCTTATAATGAATGGATCATGGATATCAAGAGGTAGTTGATACCAAATCAACAATCCCCAAAACCAGTTTCAATTGATATTTTGGATATCGAATGCAATTCACACATCTCTTGCGAGCAGTTTGTACACACTAAGTCATTTATTCTCTATAAGACAGAGGTGCAGTACTTCTTATGTCTACACATTTAGTTGGGTAAAAATGTTGATATCATTCATGACATATCTGCCTGCTTGACTTAATAAAAAAGCTAGAAAAATATCATCTCAAAAGTAAGCTCTCAAAACAAATGTATTTAATTTTTGTCTCGTCAATATAATGAAGATTTAATCTAGGTTTTGAGCCTTAAGTCTTCTTCGACAAGAGGTAGAGCGCATCAGATAAACGGATTGAAGTGCAGATTCTACGCGAAAATCACCTTGCAAATTCCAAGATTGGACGAGAGTGCAAAGAAAGTATCATTTTTGGAGCTCTGCAAGGCAATAGAATCTAGAGAAAGTTTAAAGTATTATAGATAAATGAAAAAGAAGATTTTTGTTTTTCAAACAATGGCAGAAGATACAGTTTCAAACATTTGATGTAACGATGTGGCCGCCCCTAAATATGAGAAGCAGTATACCACATAGTCAAATATGACGGAATTGGTGATAATTTGCTCTAAGAGAAACAATTGAAGATAATGCTAAAGACCATGGATCTAGACAAGACGCTGAATTCAAAACCATCTACCTGAAACGAAGATAATTTGGAAAACATCTAGAAATAAACCGTGAATATTTTACTCTTTCATTTGCAACCTTCCATCCTAAGCAAGTGGATGAGAATAGCGAATATACTTGACTGTTGGAGGCTATTGAATGAAGGTCTCATCGCTAATCGTTGTATGACTCGTTGAAATTGATTAATTTCAAGATGAAAGATTTTGACGCATAGATATATCTTCGAATTGAATGGGAATGGTAAATCGAATGTACTGTAATCTCCACCGGGGATCGTATACATCATAACCAGAATCAAGCGATTGCGAGAAGGGGGGATCAGGCTGCTGTCAAGGCCCATGTCTTCATCTTGCCATGGCTATACAACCGGTCCAAGGAAATCACTTGGAAGGGCTTTGGCTAAATGTTCGGTCACTTACAGTGGAAGAACATCCGGACTCCTCCATCACTGCGGCCATGCAATTTTGGAATCAAATAACTTCCACCAGCATCGATGTACGTCGATAATTCAAATTTCACGCTCGCTAGGTTGGTGTTGAATTACTTCTTAAAACAGGATGAACATCCCACGACTGAACAACTGCGAACATTTGAGTTTGAAATACAAGGTGACCCAACGCGGCGCAACGTCTTCGCGCTGGGTCACCTCGTATTTCAAATTCTGGCTGGTCCGCACTCCGAAGCGACAAGAACGCCAGAATCGAATTGCCTCGACGCGCCTGCCCCCACTCTCTGTATTGCATGGCATCATCTCACCAGATTCCATTCGTGAACATAAGGAGAGCAGCAGCTTGCCTACAGTTCCTGGACTCTATTTTGCCTCGCAGATGTAACACTACTTGCGCAGAGGAAAGATGCAAGATCGCAGAGTCAGACATGCAGATGTAACACTAATTGCGCTAATTGTATCAATTTCTGGGTTTGTTTGCAGTTACTGTACCTCTGCGGAGTCTCAACATCGACATGGTAGACAACTATATCTCCATTCCAAGATAGCCAACAAAGGACAATGTGGCTTCTGATGGACTGGAATCGTGTTTCTCGTGACATCTGGTCGCCAACGACTTAGTGACTGAAGTGTAAGTCTGCCATTGCTATGGAGCCTCCACCTAGATTTTGTAATCTTCACTGAGGTGGGGGTGGGATCCCAGTTGCTGTGGCTGTCGAGAGTGCTGTGAAGTGCAACAGTGTATGTATGCCCACGCTCTTGTATGTGCCTTTTCTGGCAACCGTTTAGAGAGACACTGACATGTATGTACATTTGCAGGGAAGAATGGAAGTTACATTGAAGGGTCACTGCCGGGTTGACCGAGACTAACCAAGAACATAAGGAAAGACTCCCACTCTTCGAAATATTGCTCATGATTGCCATGGGACTTGTTTGCTTCCTCGTCCGTAATTAGCAGCATCGTTCGGCCAGGCTCCGACAACTAGTGTCCTTCTCCATAGCGGACCTTTCACCGTTCACACGTTACAACCGAATGTCCCACTAAGTCATTATGCAACATGCTCGACGACCGCATTCAAGAGTTGAAATCGGCATAGGGCAGTAAACGTTTAGCTCGAATGCGGTGACACAACCACGTTGTAGCATGCGACGAGCACCGTGATTCTGGTGGCCGGCTTGCAAGTATTCTGGAAAAGTTGCCAAGACACAGTTTGGATCAGATAATTCCTATACTCGTTTGGTTATTTGATGCGGATTTCACTCTTGGGTCCACTTTATCCAATGCCTGCCACTATTCTAGGTGGCTGCACTTTTCGCGCCACTCACTTAGAGGCCACCCTGATGATTGCACAGTCATGCTCGTTTTGAGAACTTTTGTCCTGCAGAGCGATAGGAAGTCTTTATCTACTGGCAGAAGGTCGGTCATATCGGTGGGACCTGCTGATTCAAACTAATTCTCTGTGAGCGTCTGGTAAAGCCTTGTAGTCCGAGTTTTGCGCATTCCTTCAGTGTCAATGTGCATCCTCTCTGCTCGGGTGCTGCGACAGGAAGTATTTGATTGCAATTTTCAATAGAAATCTGATTGAAGTTGACGCTGCATGTCAGTTTTTCAGGGTCTTCGTCTCAGTTCAATGACAGGGAGCGAACAAAAATAAGTTTTAAAGCAAGTTTACAATGATCGAAGAAAGCTAGCTCGCCCCAGGCTGGATCCTTCATGTTGGTGATCAACTTCCTTTCCATCCACTCTCTGCTTTGTGTGGAAGTGTTATCTAGTTTACAATGTACTGCTAAAAAGCTTGTGCTTCATAATCTCATGCAATCAAGTGAACCAGCGCAAGTTATTTAGATCTTTTCAGCAAGGCCCGGTAATTGTCCGTGAGTTTAAGTCCGACCATCCAATGTACACAGTTACGGTGCAATCTGCTGGTTTCAGCTGGTTCTAGATAAATTTGGAATCACAAAACGTATTGCCTTTGCAATCGTGAAGAAGAGGGTCAAAGACTGAACAGATAATCAGGATCTAAAGAAGATATGCCGTAACAGTCGAGATCACTTACTGTCGCAAGCTACTTGTACAGAGAACAGAGCAGGAAAACGAACATTGTCCTAATCGTAATCATCAGAGTTTGATTGAGGGTCATAGCGGACAGGTGATACCCAACTACCGTCTTCGTTTTGCACCATTCCATTGTTTTCCAACTTCCACCACTTTCCAGGTATAGTTTTCGCATACTCAGCGGCCAGAACGTCGGCACTCTTGTTGATCTGAGCCAGATCTCGGTCGACCCTGAGCGTCCACTTCCCATCATGATCGTCTCCTGCCACCAGGTGCAGGTATGCCTGAAGATTGTGGTAGTTACCTATCATTCCTTCGATGTAGGCCGCGGAGTTCGACCAGGTCGAGTTCAATTTCGTGGAGGGCTGCCTCAAGTACGGGGACTTGGAAAAATCCAGCCGCAGCGTAGTTCCCACGCTCGTGTAGCCGACGTAGGGCGAGTGATCCGTCAGATTCATTCTATTGACCTCGAACCAGTGATCTGCAGTATCGGCACCCGCCTGGACGAGTCCCCAATTCTGGACTGCCAGCCTCCTAACCACCTCAACGGGGGCGACGGTCTGCGCGTCATCGCCAGGGGGCGTGCAAGGCACAAGATCCTGATCAACTTTCACTCTCAAGCACTTGGCCCCGAGCTCCTCAAACCTCCGGCGGAACACGACGTCGCCGGCACGAGGGGAGGCGAATGTGATCGCGGTGACGGGGACGGTGGCCCCGGCGATCTTGTTCGTCCCGGCCTCCACGAGCTGGTAAGCGCAGTAAGTCGCCAGAGCGCCGCCCAAGCTGTGCCCCGTGCAGGTGATGCTTAGCTCCTCCCCTCTGTACACCTCCAGCAGGCGAGCCACCTCGTCCACGGCCTGCTTGCCTGCAGAGTGCTTGCGGAACATCTGATTTGTCTCGGGATAGTCCGCGAAGAAGTGCCAGAAGCCCGCTGTCACACGGGCGGCTTCGTGCCCAGGCAATCCATCGCGCCCCACGAGAGGCTCCTGGCGCAATACGGAGTCCTGGAGCCATTCGAAGGTCGTCTTCGTCCCTCGCCAGGCCACCACGATGTCTCGTCGGCCGAGCCGCTTAATTTCTGCTTCGTCGGTGCACACTGCCACGAAGCCGGACCAGTTCGTTTCCATGACGGGATCCTGGGGCCCGACCTTCGAGCCCTTAACATAACAATAGAGGTAGCGTTCGACCGAGTATCCGGTTTTCGGCCGCCCGACCTTGGCCAGGATATCCCTCTTCGGGTATGCGCATCCAGTGGGATGCGCCGTGTTCGCGATGTACGGGAATGCATCCTCGGTCACTTGACAGAAGTCCCCGTATCGGAGAATCTCGTTGCGGAGATCGGGGTCCAGAGATGGCTCCAGTAGACCTTCCCAGTCGTTGCAACCTGCGAGCTCTCTCCATCTGCTTGCCACTCCACTCTCGGTGCCATTAGCGTGGGCGTCCAATTTCGCGTCCAATTTCGCTGCCTCCTCTGGTGCTCGATGAGGTCCTCCGTGCAGGAGATGATGATGGCTCTTATGCGGAACGCATTCTTCCATGTGTTTCGATCGACGCGTCGGATCATGACCATCGCTGCTGCAAGAGAAGCTGGGTGGACAATCTTTCTCCATGCTTAGTGCGCGATTGAGTACCCACCGACGGGTGTTAACCCGCACGGTTGAATTCGTGTTCGAGCTGACCAACAACACCGGCCGCTGGGGGAAATTGTGAGATGGACTCTTGGTGAGAGTCACTGATGGATACTGCATTTCGTTCGATTGCGAGCCCTTCTTATACCTTCCGAATCGAAGTACTACGACACTGATTTGGATAAGAGAAGCGCTCTCTTCATCTCTCTCTCTCTCGATTGTCGGAGCCCCGGCAACTTGCCTGCCCTGATCGATTACATCATGTCAGCTGCTTTTCGAAATGACAATGTGCCCATCCGTTGGTCACGCGTACAGTACAGTATCGAAAGAGATCTGACCAGATTGTGTCTGGAAGGTCGGTGAAAAAATATGAATCTGAATCGAGAAAAATAATCCAGATCCAGACCTGACATAAATCTGTGATCTGATGAACGCTTCCAATTCCGATTACGGACAACAGTGACTCTTTCGACTATTCTGGTTAGAGTTTTACACTCTAAGTCTCCTCGTCCGATCGCACCTCGGAGTAATCTCGTTCCAACGGAGTACGTCTACGACTACTCTTCTTACATCACTTTCTGTCACTGCCTAGGCTTTAAGATTCGGTCAAATTTGGTGTACCCTCCGAGTTTATTACAGCTCACATCAAAAACATGGTGTATGTCAGCGCAACTTCCAAGGACCTGTAGATTATTCATCCGTGTATTCTCCTGAATCTGTCTTTATACCGAATCATGCGGTTGGAATCATGTATGCGGCTGCGTACTGGAAGGAAAACGTCAGTTCACGGAGACCCCGGCCGTTCGAATATAATATTATTTACCTTCTGTTCTTCGACGTATATCTGTCATTTAAAAATCACCTCTTCACCATCACTTTTTGTCTTTGAAAAAGTAATATTCGGTGATGCACGAGTATCATGTTCTTAGTTTAATGAATGCATGTTCTTTTATATTTGTTATTTATTTATTTATTTGTTATTTATTTGGAAAATGTTTAGTTTGATCTCAAACTAAACATTAGTTTGAGATCAAAGGGAGTTTTGGGAAGAGTGTAGAGTGAAATATTGATCATCTCGTGCCTCAAGTATCTTTCCATCGATAGCTAACTTGAAAGAAATAGATATATAAATTGTGACTTTAAAAATAAAAATGATTTCATTCAAATCAGATTTATCCCGACTATGACTTGGAGTGCAAGAGTAATCAAAATGCAGTTTAATCAATTTCATGTTAATACTATGGTTATTTATTGTGAACAAGAACATCTACTTATAGGGATATCTATGTTTTCACGTCATATTATTGCTCGACGTAAAATTGTGTCTCATACACTTGGAATTCAGGAAGTACTATGATTTAATATTCATAGAAGTGAAAATAATTTTAATTTCTGTGAGTTTCATACTCAAAAACAAACAAAAATTATGAGTATGAAGAGCATGTGTTTGTATATTATATACTAGATCTGAAGAGATTACACTAGCTCATAAAATAGATGTATACAATTTCTAGTCTTTATTGCAGCTTGTGCTTTTTTATTTAGGTTGTTATATAAGATATGTCATTAATCATCATTTTAGTGCTCTAGTAACTAGCTAGGTATAGATCTTTAGTATTATTTCATTAATCCGTGAATGATTGACTTGTAATGTAATTTTTAGCCTCTTGATCCGTTGGGTCTCATGAGCTTAATCTATTTACCATTTAGCATAACTTAAATTTTTCACTTAAAAAAGTTATATGTGATTATATTTGCAAATTTTAAAGAAGTTAGCAAAAAAACACAAAATAAATATATGTCAAATAATTTTTAGTAGCAAGAAGCAATTTCAACTTATGAAATCAATGTAGAAGACGGTGAAATGATTTAGGTAGTAATCCATTGTCTCGCCTTTGTGGATTGTTAGAGTTTAGTTGATCGTGTTGCGAGAAGAAAAACTAAAAGAGAACAAAATGCTATGACAAAAGAAACAATGCTCTTGGATCTCTTTCTGAGCAGTGCTTCCGGTAAATACTCTCAAGTAAATTATATTGAATGAACTTGGAAGGTGTTACAATCCCATATTTATTTGGGATTGAGGGTTAGTGTATCTATTATTAATAGATAGGTTAGAAGTCTCAATACTTCTTAAGGTTAGAGTGGTGCGAAGTCGGGGTACTACTCGTTCTATTATTAGAGATGATCTATCGATAGGATTAGGCTGATGCGGGGCCGGGGTATTACCCTTCCTATTATTAGAGATCGGTTATCTTTACACTCCTCCCCGAACAATGAATTCTCTCATTAAAAAACTTCAAGTAGATTGAAGAAAAAGAGTGGAGTCATTCTTCGCATTTTAATTCAACTATTATTTATAAGTTCTGATAAAGTCCGCATCCCTGCTGCGGCTATCAGTTTTCGATGCTGCGAAGCTGGTAATGCCTTAGTAAGTATATCCGCATTGTTCTCCGCTCAATCTATCTTTCGCACTGTAATCTGGCTCGTCTCTGTGAGGTCATGTGTGTAGCTGAGCAAATGAGGACTGCTATGCTTAACATGGTCTGACTTGATGAAACAAGAAGACACTTGCTCAATACAAGCTGCGTTATCTTCAAAAATTGTTGTTGGCTTATCTTGGAGTGAAAATCCAACCATCTCGGATATAGCGGTCTGCATGGTGCGAAATCACATTGTTTCCCAGGCTGCCTCGTGATACGCAAGGAGCTCAGCGTGATTCGTTGAAGTTGCCTCGACTGTTTGTTTCGTGGATCTTCAACTAGTGGGTGCTCCATTTTTTCTAAAGATGTAGCTTGTTTGGGACTTGCCAGTCGTTGGATCTGATTTGAACCCAGAATCGGCATAGCATGAAATATCATTATGGCCGCGGAAAAAATGAAGACCGAGATCTTCTGTTCCTCAAATGTATCTGAATAGGTGCTTGATGCCTTGTCAGTGTCGTGCTGTGGAACGTTGGCTGTGACGGACGAGGACGATGACGGCAAAATTGATGTCGGGTTGAGTATTTGTTGCCAAGTAGAGGAGCGCGTCGACTGCTGCTAGATACTTCGGTTTGTCCAATTCCTCCTCCTCGGGTTCAACATGACGATATAGATCATCTTCAGTCTTGCTCCTCCCTATCATAAGTGCTGATAGGGCATTCGTGTTGTTCATGTTGAACGTCTTGAGAAGCTTGCGAGCATAAGTTTGTTGATGAAGAAGCATACTTCCATCTGCAAGATCACTAAACTGGAGTCCAAGACAATATGATGTTTCACATTGCCTTGGACTCCAATTTTGCCTAATAGTTTTATCTCAAACTGTTTAGTTACTATGAGTTCAACACACTTGCTCAATGCTGGTGTTCCAATATAGTTCAAATCATTGACATAAATAGCGAGGATCATAAATTGTTTATCTTCCTTCAAAACAAAGATGCAAGGTAGAGCAGGATGATTTTGGAAGCCATTAGAAATCAAATAGTACTTCAAGTGATGTAACCATGCTCTTCCGGCTTGTTTCAGGCCATAGAGTGCCTTCCAAATTCGTAGCCCATGAAAATGTCATGGTTGGATTGGTGGCAGGTGTGGTATAAAGTCTGGTGGAGGTTTGATATGTAGATTTGTATCCAAGTCGTCATAGAGAAAGGCAGTGACAACATCTAGGAGGCGTGTTTCAAGTGAAAGTTGTACTGCTAGGCTGAAGAGATAGCGGAATGAAGCCATGACAGGAAAATATGTTTGGTCGAAATCAATTTTTGGTTTTTGAGTATATCCTCGTGCAACTAGATGTACCTTGCAACGAATTATATTTTTGTGTTCGTCACGTTTTTTAGTGAATATAAGTTTGTGAATATGAGTTTGACTGTAAGATCTGTTACAAGTGGCCCAAATACTGAACGCTTGCGAAGGAATTGATATTTGGCATGCAATGTTTTTTTCCATTGTGGCCAATCTGATCGCTTCCTAGCTTGATCTAAAGTAGTAGGTCAAAACCAGAACTAGTAAGACTGGTTACAAATGACTTAGGATTTGACCAGGGATCTGATGGTTCCTCGGGTTGTTCTACTAAGAGTGCTGCTCGTGCATGATCTTACGTTTCTTGGATATTGAAGCGGACACGAGGTTTCCCGACCCAAGTAGTGAGTTTTGGAGTATTCTAGGTCCGGATTAAAATCTGTCAGAGAGTTTTTTGGCTAGTTTCTGCAAGTCTAGAAGTTTTCTATGCTCAAAAATCTGTATGTGCTGTTCGTGGATCTGGGTTTAGGGTGAGAGTCTCTTAGGCTCTAAAGTTAAGTTCTATATGGTTGGAGTTTCTAGCGCCAGGAAAACGAGTCTTTATGAATTTCACATTCAAAATCTAGCTTTGTAAACATCATGGCTATCGGGTAACTTGTATTGAATAATACTCAAGGAGTCAAAACCAAGATATATACCTTTGATTCTATGGGGTTCCATGGATTTTATCTTTGGATCTACAACAGTTACCCAAATCTCACAATCAAAGGTTCGGAGATGTGATATATGCGGAATTCGGCCGGATGCTAATTCTAACGAAGAGTGAGTATGGAGCAAGGTTGATCTAAGACGTAAAAGAACTAGTGTGAAGGACAAATTGACCCCAATAAGAAGTTGGGAGTTTAGAATGAAAAAGTAGGGGTCCGACTATGAGCTGAATTTTCTTGATAAAAGCTTCGGCTAGAGCATTCTAAGTATGATTGTAAGGAGTGGAATAAGTAAGTTCAATCCGTGTCGCTGCGCAATAGTTCTCAAATGCATGAGATTGAAATTCAAGAGCGTTGTCCATTCTAAGAAATCGAACTGGGTGGTCAGGGTAGTAGTTTCTAAATTTTAATAGCATCGCTAAGATCTTGGGAAACACCATGTTTCTAGTGGTAAGAAGAGAAACCTCAACATGACGTCCGGATGCATCAACAAGGACAAAAAAATATTTGAACTGACCTGATGTTGGACTGATTGGGCCACACCAATCACCTTAAAGAAGGTGCAATGGTGCGGACATATCCTCCGGTAGTTTTCAAATCGAAGGTCATTTGATCAATTTTCTTTGGATGCATGCTGGGCATTCTTAAACATGCTCTGCGTCACTAGTGCACATCTCCTGGCCGGTCAGGAGCGGTATCATCCTCCACATCATAGTAGTCCCCGGGTGCTCCAGTCGGCTATGTCACAAATTTGCTCTGGCGTTTGTTGTCATGAGGGATGTGGAGCCATCTTTACAGGGTAGGCTGAGTCGCGTAGTGCGAGCGGTGGCCTCTTCCTTACCCGGTTGGATAGGGCTAGTGCTCAAAATGGGCTGCGTAGGCAAGTTGACTCTTCCTTGCACGCGTATGGATGGGGTTAACTCATGAGATTAGAATCTTGTTTAGGCCTCTTATTCCCCGCTTTAGCGGTGGCGAGGATCGCCGCTCCACGCCTGAGTTGTAGTATCTCTTCACAGCACTCCACCGCCGTGGAGGCGTGGATATGGTTGGCTCGTAAGACC